GGGAGCAGCAGCAAAGCCCCTGCAAAAGGAAAAGAGCAAAAGCGGTGCTAAAGAAAACAATAGTTTGATACCTTCTGGTCACAAGAAAAGCTTCCATTAGGATTTTGATAACATTCTTGCGAGGCTTTGCTGTGCCGGGCAGTATCTGGTCGCCCAGGTCTGACGGCCGAGGAGCTCGTACCTAGCGTTACCGCTGCCTTCTGGGGACAAGAGCTGGAGGAGGCGGGTAAAAACTCCACCAGCTGCATGACCTGCCCTGGTCCTCGGCCTTGGCGCACAGCTGGGAGCCAGGGACAGCAGCAAGTTTGGACACCCCGGGCCTTTGCTTGAATCTGCCACATCCCTATCAAACCATCATCATCATCATCATCATTATTATTATATCCCTAGAAGAGCTGTGCAAACCCCTGTCTGCTCGGGGCGTTTTTGCCTGAATAACCTATCGGCAGACAGCGTGTCCTGACGGGAGGCTGATTAAAACGGCAGCCTGGAGGGCCCTGCTCCTGCCCAGCACGTGTCAGTGGCAGCTCAGAGACATTTCAGGTAGCATTTAAATACTGCTTGTAAGCATCTTTGTTCCGATCCAGTTCATTTGTCTGTTATTGCTCCCAGCATCTGTATTCAAGCACAGCAGGAACTAACCGGCCGTGTTCTCGGAGTCCAGCCTGCTGCTCGGTGCTTGGCAGGAGTGAAGCTCCCTTCCTGCTGCTCGAAACAACCCCGCAAGGCGCCTGGCCGCGGCTCCGCATGGGCCCCTCCTTCCGGAGCCTCCCTGCTCCGTCGGCTCCGGTTTCCCTATGCATCCTGCCTCCGGGAAGGTTACTCGCAGGCACGGGTTTGCTGAGGTTTCTGTCACCCAAGGAGGTATTTCCAAGCCCTTGTTCTCTTCAGAGGTGTCCTCTCTAAGGTGCCCATTGAGGGCTAAGATTGTGTTACTGAGGCTGCTCGAAGAGCACAAAGGCTCCATAGGAATGAAGTCCGCCCGGCCTCGCAAGGAGATGTCTTGTTGCTCCACTGACAAACTCAGTCACCAAAGGATGATTCAGATCCATGCTGGAAATACTCAGCAGGCTGCATGGCAGAAAATCCCCATGTGGGAAGTTGGTACTGCTGGGGAGCAAACAAAAAAAAAACGTTAAGTGGTATTCCTGGAACTTCTTAAATCTGTTCGGAATCCCAGACTGGAAAATTGAAATGTGACAGGAAAAAATAGGAAGGCGAAGGCTGCTGCTGAAGCGCTTTGTGGCAGCCTCCCTGCAGCCTGCGAGCCGTGGCCGCTCTCCTGTCGGGTCTGGGTGTTAAAAAGCCGCTTTTCTTCGTTTGGAGGTTCTCACCTGTTGGTCTGGTTGTCATTTTCCTGCATTCTGGTTGTGGTTCTGCCTAGAAACACAGGTGACAGGTGACAGCTGCACAGGTCAGACCCTTCCTGCACATAGATGGTGACAGACCGGCAGGGCCTTGAGCCCGTAGCCCCATCTTGATGGTGGCACATGCTGCGTGTCCCTTCCCACACACCCCCAGCCACAGGTCCCTGGCCCCTGGCTGGAGCAGGGCCTCGCGCTGGCCCTGGCCTCGCTATAAGCAGGACGTGCTCCTTGCTGCCGCGTTATAATGTCTCCTTGCAAGCTCTAATTGGCTTTGTGCCCAAGAACACGGTGCACTCAAGGGGTGTCTCCAGTTAGCGGAGTGCGTTTGTGCTCCGATCACTGCTGAGGTCCTGCTGCCAGGCTGAGCGCCCCTCCAGCATGCGAGTCCCTCGTCGTGCCGCCCGGCCCAGCCGCAATCAGGGTCTCACAAGACTCCTAAAACGCTGGAGACTCAGTGCCGAGCAGGGCTGGTGGACTCGGGAGGGCAGGAAGCACGAGCACGTGGGCTCTGTACATGCCTGCAAACACCTGCCGTCCCCGCGTGCCCATTAGTCCTGCTCTTACCCCTTTCCCAGCCGTAAGGTGTTCCAGGAGCCACAAGCCGCCCTGCTATTCCTGCGTGCCGCTGCAGGCATTTCTGTGCCGGCGGGAGCAGCGGGTGGAGGCTGGCGGAGCCCCCCAAGGCCCCCAGACCAAACCCGCCGCGGCAGCACGGCGGATTGTGATTATTCAGAGTGTGAAGTGTGCTCGGGTGTCTCGCGGCACTGGCACTCGGCACGCGTCCCTGCAGCTCCGCTTCCCAGACAGCCCCGAGACGCTCCAAGCATTAAACCCAGGGAATCGCGTGCCTGGTTCTGCTCGAGGCGGCACGAGCAGCTGCACTGACATTGGTTGTGCCACTGGTGCAAAGCAAGCATAAAAAGAGAAGCACCCCCGGCCTCTTGCTTCCATCTACAACTTGATCTTCGGGCTACAGTTTTCCTTCCTGGCATAGCAAAAAAAAAGAAACAAAAAAAAACCCACACACAAATCCCAAATCATCACAAACTGTCAGGAGTCTCCGTGAGCCCACACTAGTCTCTCGAATAATATTTTAGGCTCAGGAAGGCTCTTCACGAACAACACCCACCTCCAGTATGTCGAGAGAGACCTTAAACCTCGGTTTAAGAGCAGCTAGTGCCACGGAGAGGAAAGCTGTTTTCCCTGCCGCTGTTTACAGAAGGCAGGTGAGGAAGGAAGGCTGCAGAGCATCCCAAGCTGCTTCTGCAGCACCAGCCAGTGCTGTTGCCAACGTAGGGAAAAGCGCGACGGCAACCACGG